GGGGGGGGGGGGGGGGGGGGGGGGGTATCCTGTGTGGGGATGTTTTTTTGCATCATAGAGAACTGCCTTCTCGGCGAAGTGAAGCTACTGCTGTACTCACGAAAGTGGTCGCCGGCAGATCTGGACGTATTTTTTTTGCAAACAACGGCAGTCGGGTTGTCGCCTTGTGGCCTCCTGGCCTGCCCAACCATGTAGTGGACTTTGCTTACACGATGCAAACAGCAGCAGTGATTTCTAGGCCTTTCGCAGACGATTGGCAAGTCCTTGCTTCTGGTTATGCGGATGGTTGCCGCCTCCCCATCCCCGTTGATGACCAACGGCTACTCTCAAGTGGTGTTGGTGTGTGCCGAGGCGAGAAGTCATTTCGTGTTAACCGTCTTAGGCGGAGAGATGGCACCCCCCCCTGGACCGACGTTCAAGGCTCGATTGCTCCACAGCCAAGGGGTTGGCGGAAAGAGCCCGATACGTGTGCCCAAAACCGTCGACGAGATTTTTCCAAAAACCACCGTTTTTGGGTTTGGCACCATCCTGATTGTTGGCTTGACAATCGGTCTAGGGGGGGTGTCATCTCTCCGCCTCTTTTGCAGCAGTCAAGAAGTGGGGGATACAGCGTGTGCGAGAGGAGGTTGACCCTGCCCCCATCTTAAAAAGAGAATGCCGCCTGGTCCTCAATGCACCAAATAGGAAGTTTACGTTTATATTCGATCGAACAGAAGTACTCCTGATTGTGTAGCACCTAATTGTTTCAGGAAATGCTTCTTGGTTTCATGGAGGTGGATGCACGCCTGAACTGAAGTACGGCTTCCGCGAATGCCCCCCCCCCGTATTTCGTATCTGCGTGCCCCCGCTTGGCGGCTTTTGTGGCCGGCGGGTCTTTCGTGACTGGTGTGCTAAATATCTTGTCTGTACGAAGGCGAGCGTGCCGTACTTGGAGATGCTGGAGATATGGATCTACCACGGCAACCTGAACGATCAGTACGGTGAGAGAGAGATCGTAGGTGTCGATGGGGCTCAGAGATGGGGTTAAGATGAGGCGTACTGACAGCAAAGGTAATTGTGTGTGTGTACGGGTGTATTGTTGCTCCTTATGTAGATACACCAACGTGCACATGTCGGTGCTGGAGCGCGACCCGGCTAATTTTCGTGCTCAGTGTTGCCCCACCATCTCTTTTTCTCGTTCCGCTCCCACGGAGTCGAGTCGAACGGAATCGACTTACCACTGCTCGCTTGTTGCTTTGCTACCGCCTGTTCCAAGCAGCCGTCCCCCTTCCATGATGCCGAAGTTTTTTTTCCCGATTAACGGAGAGAGGCGTTTTGCATCTCGCCGAGGATAAGCTCCCCGCCCACGACTCTTCACTTTCGGCTTTGCCGTTCGTTTTGTTATTTTGTCTGGCGACGCCCCTCCCCGTGTGCAGGAGAGTTTATGATCGAGCAGGCGGAAGACGTCCACAAGCAGGACGTCGGACAGGTGTGTAACGGTCGTATGCATAGCTGCTGTGTCACTTCACTTCACTTGCTTAAATGTGGCGCTGCTGTGTAGCTGCCGTGTGTACCAGAAGAGAGAAAGAGACAGAGAGAGAGAGAGAGAGAGAGAGAGAGAGAGATTGTCTGTGCGGTGTTTCGGCCTCTTGTGTCGTCGTTGGCTTGTATACATACCTCCTCTTATCTCTCTCTCTCTCTCTCTCTCTCTCTCTCTCTCTCTCTCTCTCTC